GACCAGACTGTAGACGTTGCGGCAGCAAACAGTTATTGTTCATACATTGACATAGCTGTGCATGCATAATAGACTGCACCTCTCTGCATTCAGAGTTCGTGACAGACCACATCGGCATGCGTCCGTCACGTGGGCAGCGTCCTCTGCTGGTGTTTCAGGAGAGTATAGAGAATCAGAGATTACCAGACTGTGTGATTAGTTGTCATAAAATAGCGACATGTCCGCTCTGCAGACATTTCTATTTTATGACGCCTAATCACACTGTCTGATACTCTCTTACTCTTCTAAACTCTCTCGAAACACTAGCGGCCGGTGCGAATCAATATCACTCTGTGACTGCTTTCCTATCTGCTATAATACTGGAGCACGACCGCTACGATAGCGCGTCGACGAGCGTCGAGAGTGAAGTCTGAACGTAGCCTCACCCTGTGATCTGTGCCGGAGACTGCCACCACCGCACTTGCAGCGGGGTGCGTAGACAGCTCTCCGATGGCGCTCTAGTACTGGGGACGGGTTTCCCCAGACTTATCATATTGCTGATAACCGCTCCTTCCTTTATACTTCTCGTAATCTACTATCGAAAGGTAACCTTACTGTTGGCAGGTTTCATCGGCCGTGACTGGAGCCCTCTGATGAGCTTGTTACTGTTCATGTTGATCTGACTTGCGGATTGGTTGGAACTCTACACTGAACTATGCTCTACTACATCGAACTGTCTGCAAAAGCCAATAAGTATAATAACTGGTGCCCAATGTTCATAATATTATGAGAAATAATAACAATAAGAGGAAAAAGACCTCATATCTCCCTGTGATAGCAGTATTGTATGCGCGCCAAGATCATCTACCCTTTTTCAGCTTTGAATTAGGCACTGCGTTCAATGCGATGTAATTGTTTGTTCTATACGATGTAAAGTTGTATTTTACGAGTGAATTCAAAGCGATTACGGTCGACTCTCCTTTCATTATCTGCACATTCTCTAGTGAATGTGGAAATAGTGATTTCTTATATTGCTCTCAATTTTTCCCAAAGATTAGAAATACTTAGACCTGATTATTCACGAGATTTCGTGGGATTTAATTCGATTCTCTACCAGTAGGTGGCGATACAAGGGACTACACGGAGCTAAGACTCTTCCCTTGGTCCTCTACCCTTAGGAATGTCGCAAGAATAGCGGGCCACAAGAAGTTTCCTTCGGGTTGCCCCTTCACAAAATTTATTACTCCAGATTTGCTTGCCATGAAGCGGGAACAGTTCTTTTTGATAATCGTGAAAAATCAGGTCTTTATGCATACCCGTTAACCTCGTGAAGCTTCAAGACACATTTCACTTCTGTTTTTGCATGCTTTGGAGTGTTTATAGTTTCACC